ACACACACACACACACACACACACACACACACACACACACACACACACACACACGGATATATGCATTTCTAATCTCCTCCATGTTTCTCAGTCCCATTTGACCATGACAGGCAGAGGCAGGAGAATCAGTGTGAGTTCTGGTACTTAGGGCTCTAGTCATCAAACATGTGTGTAAGACTTGAACCTGGAGTACATGAGTGGGGAGAAAAAGCACCCAGTGTGTCTGGAGTTTGGAGCCAGAGCTGTGCTGACAGTTTGCTGATTGAAAAATGCTCTGGTTTCATTTCTGTTTCCGCTCTAGGCTTCCCTGACAGAAAACAAATTAGAGGAGGAAAGGTTTATTCTGCTGACATTCCTAAATAACAGTCTGTCACTGGGGAAGTCAAAGCAGCACTCAGGCCTCTGGTCATATCACATCCACAGTCAAGAGCAGAGAGAGAATAGATGTATCATTGCTTGCTGCTCTCTGTTTTGATCCTGTTCAGAATCCCCTTCCTAGGGAATGGTGCCACTCACAATGGACTAGGTTTTCTGCATCAAGCATCAGCCAAGGCAATCCTACCAGCCAGCTCGATCCAAGAAGTTCCTCAAGTGAGGCTGTCCCCAATGTAGCGTAAAAGAGCCCGTGAAAGAAACACACTTTGGCCCTGAAACCAGGGCTGAAGACCACATCCTGCCCCTGACCAACTCCGCACAAAACCCAACCAATCCCTGAGCAGGAAACCAACCAGTCCCTGAGCAGGAAATCCAGCCAATCCTTGAGCAGGGAATCCAGCCAATCCCTGAGCAGGAAATCCAGCCAACCCCTGAGCAGGAAATCAACCAGGTCCCTGAGCAGGAAACCAACCAATCCCTGAGCAGGAAATCCAGCCAATCTCTGAGCTTGTCCAAGCTCAGGGATTGAAATATGATTAATTCCCACCTTGAAAATCTTCACCCTGGAAAAACTCCACCCCTGAGAAGCCCTATATAAGCCCTGTACCTGTTCAGTGGGGAGCTGCCTTTTTCCACCCTGGCAGAGGCAGCCAGCCCCCCTCCTGGATTCCTCCCTCCCAACAAATCTCATGAATGAGGTTGGGGTGACAATCTTCCTTTGCCAGAGTGGAGCAGAGGAGAGCAGAACTGTAATACTTTCCCTAGGGAAACCTGGCCCTAGCAGAGGAGCATAGTTGTTACATGCTGGCAGACCGGAGCAGAGCTGTAACAGATTTGCTGGGGAAACCCTTCCCTGCCAGGGCAGAGTTGTTACACTGGGGAAATACTTCCCTGGAGCAGGGCTATAAGCTGCCTCACTTATGGTGACTTCATCGTAATCCTTGGCTCCCCACTGCCAGGATATTTTCCATCGGAGCTGCAATGCTCACACTCTCTATGACTCCAGGACATTTTGGGTTGATAGTTAAGGATAACCAGGACAACCGTCAACCTTGGGAGAGTGAAGGTCAGCAGCAACCATCCAGGAAAGGCATGTGCACGCCATGTCTAAGAAACCCGGGCTGTCATGGGCAAGCCTGCAGTACCAGCTGGGACCCCATGAGCCATCAGAGCACCCATCTTCTTGGTTGGCTTTCTGTCTCTGCCCCACTCCCTAGGGACCTCCGATGCAACCACTGAGGGATGGAGATGGCAAAGCAAAAGAGTTAAAAAGCCAACTGCCTGCCGTCCTTCTGAGGGACTAAGATAGAGAACTTCGGGGGAGAAACTATTTATGTGGTCTGGTTTGCAGTGCTGGAAATCAAACCCAGAGCTTCTCACAAGCTTGGCAAAGGAAGGGCTTTTCCGACCTCTAAGCTACAGCCCCAGCTCTAAGTTTTCGCTGTAAATCCAACCTTCCTTCCCTACCCTAAGTACGGAGCTGAAGTTAGTATTGGAATCACATGTCATTTCTTTTCAAAGTTGTCACACAGAACACTGAAGCAATTAAAGGAGAGTACTTGTGGCTCTTACGGAGGACCAGAGTTTGGTTCCCAACACCCATGCTAACAACCACCTATATGTAACTCCAGTCAGGGGATCTGACACCCTCTTCTGGCCTCCTCAGACATCCACGTGCACACACACACACACACACACACACACACACACACACACACACACACACACACAGTCTTTTTTTTTTTTAGTCACCACACAAGGTATTTAGGAAAATAAAAATCTTCTGCGTGATATAACATTGAGATGCATCATTACACATTTGTCAGTACCCACAGTCTGTGACACCGGGAGCAGACCCTAGAGAGGCCAGTCTCAGCTGATAGTGATGGCTGTGAGAGCTCATCCAGTGTAGCAAACGCACTGTTCTGCAGGGTCAGGGTGCTGTGAGGGGAAGAACTGTGCTCGGGGACAGGCCGGAAGGAAAGTTTATCAGTTTCTTCTTTTCGTTTCTATGATAAGATGTGCAGACAAAAGCAATTTATGGGAAAGACACTGATTTAGGGTCTGAGTTTGAGAATACAGCCCACCCAAGTGGGGAGTCAAGACAGCGGCAGCTGGGAGCAGCTAGTCACATCACAGCCACAGTGAGGAAGCAGGGAGCGGCAAGGGCCTGTCTCCAGCTCAGCTCACTTTCTCCACAGTCCACAGTCCCCTGCCCAGGGCATTCTGTGGCTGGAGAGATGCTCAGTGCTTAAGAGCACCGGCTGCTCTTCCAGAAGTTAGGTTCCTGGAACCCACGTGGATGCTCAGGATGATCTGTAGCTCCAGTCCTGGGGAATCTGAGGCCCTCTTCTGGCCTCTGTGGGCACTGCATGGTGCTTAGATGTGCATACAAGCAAAATACCCATACACCATAAAATTTTTAATCTAATTTTTAAAATGTGTATTCCCACATGTATTAGTCACTGCTCTATGG